TTATATGCTTGTTCACATGTGATATGTATACCGAACTTTGGTCCGATGTCGGGCGGGGCCCGATGCCGGACTTCGGTCCGATGGCAGGCGGGGACCGATGCCAGGTGGGGCCCGATGTAGTGGGCAAGGCCCAATATATGGCATTATGTGATTATGTGTATGATATGTGGTAGTTTGGGGAGACTCACTAGGCTTCATGCTTACAGTTTTCAGTTTTGGTTTCAGGTACTTCTGCTAGCAAGGGGAAGAGCTCGTGATGACTGCATGGCACACACCACAACTTTTAGCCTGGGATGTTTAGACTCTAATATTTGGCACATGATTTTGATACAGTATTTTATTATGATGATTTGAGATACATTACTTATGTTTTTGTGAGATGACAAATGGTATTTAGGGTTTTTTTATAAATAATCAAAACGAAAATTTTGGACCGTATTTTTGGGATGTTTCAGGATGGCTCGGGACTCCTCTCCCTAAAACATGGCAAGTCCCTTAATTAGTTATTGGGCCCAAGTACGACTCCCTTATGGCCCAACTTCTAATTCATGCCCTAAGGCAAGGTTCCCTAGTCCTTGCCCTAATGGGCCTTTCCCTTCCCCCCCATCCATAATAAATTTAAGGCCCAAGTCCATTACTTTAAACTTTAAGGCCCAATAAGGCCCAAGAGGCCCAACACCATAAATCCCAGTCCTAGGCCTAGAGGCCTTACTCCACAGTCGGCCATGAGGCCCAACAAACCTAGGCCCAATCACCCAAGGCCTAAAAACTCAAGTAACCATTCTGTATGTGTACACGCGACATACCTAGCACGTACGCCCAGCGTACGCTGGTCTTGACCGCTTCGGGGAGGTTGACCCAGTACGCGCAGCGTACCCAGGGTACTCCCAACGTACTGGTCAGTTTCCTTAGGACTTCCTTTGTGACTTAATCCATTAAGTCTTAACGTCCAAAACATAGATCCAGGTCTTTTAAGACGTCCTGAACCATAAAGTTATAAACTTTATGTCTTTGCATGCATGGATGGGGGTTAATACATGATTTAAGTCCTTAAACATACTTTGTGACCATCTACCACTTGCATGGTTGTGTCTTAACCATCAAGATCCGATTTTTATGGTTCTAAACACCTTCAAGAGCCAAAAAATGACAGCTTATTTGGACAGAATCTTCTAAAACACAAAGGACCTCAAGTATAGGACCAAAATGTGACATAAAACACCCCAAAACTAGATCTAAGCATGCAATGATCAAGTTTAGAGCTTTATACCTCCAATGGGTCAGATATGATGCCAAACTTCTGGATCTACAAGGCTTCTCCAAGCTCTTGCTCCTCCTTCAAGCTCCTTCTTCTTCAAAACCACCAAAATAACACCAAAATGTTCAAAGTGAACTCAAGATACAAGCGATGAGGTTAGGGTTTGAGTTAAGCACTGAGAGGACAAGGGATGCTGAGGGGATAAGGGTTTTGAAGTTATAAGTTGTTTAAGTAGTAGGCAAACCCTAAAATTTAGGGTTTGCATCTGGTCACCCTATGCCCAACGTACGCATGGTGGCTCCCCGATCCGCGCATCGTGCATGTACGCCGTGCGTACATCCTGTACGCCCAGCGTATGCTCCGCCCAAAAATTTCAATATTTCAATGCTATAACTTGAATAAAACAACACAATATCTGATAAATCTCGGACGTTACATATAATTAACCTAATATTAATAAAAAAATATAGTTATAATAAGCCTAACACTAAAAAAATTCTAATTAAAATAAATCTAATAAGAAAATAACAATCAAAATAATGGTAACAATAATTATTATATTTAAATTATTAATAATAAGCAGTAATTATTATTATATTTATATTAATAGTAATATTAAATAATAATTAATATAAAATAATAGTAATAATAATAATATTTAAAGGAAATGGAGGAATGGAAAAAATAAAAGAGGGGGAAAACAAAAAGATTTCTAGTTTATGATTCCCGACTCATTATGTTTCCTATAAAATTTCTACACAATAGTAATTTTAAATATTAATTAATATTTCGTTGGTTTTTTGTTGGAAAATTCTGACGCTTTTCATACGAAACCTTTGGGGTGTCTAATTTTAAGTATTATTTAATATTTCGTCGGATTTTTGTTGTAAAATATCAATGCTTTTCCTACTGAATCATTGGGGTATCTACTTTCATCTGTATTTTGTAGGAATTTTTTTGGATTCCACTTTTGTTGCAAGTTTATCGAAAATTGGACGGAAATTACCAACAAAATAAGTTCGTCGGAAATATTTTGTAGCTAAAACCAAATTCTCTAGTAGTAAAACATTAAAAAGTTAACAATATGAAATAAATTGATCCAAACATTAGGTATAAAATGTGTTATAATTCTAACAAAATATAAAATAAAACTAAAAGTAGTTAGACATGTTATCATCGCTCCCCTCATTCTCTTCGGTATTACTTCATAGAGTAATGATTGAAATCATACTTCAAGTGCCGCATTACCAGTCGGGTCGGTAAGCATTGCTTAAAAATCATCCAACTAAAAAATAAATAATAACATAAACTTATTAGTCAAAACAAAAAATCATTTAGCACTTTTCAAGTTTAATAAGACATCAAATTAATTGCAACTTTTCATTAATCCTTTTCAAAACATATTGAGCATTTTCAAAACATATTACAATCTAATTATGTCAAAATAATTAAATCACAATAAAAACTACTTCTAGACTTTCCTAATTAAGTTCTTAACAATTAATTATTTAATAATTAAATACTTAACAAATCATTAATCACTTTCACATACATTATACATGCATATACATACATAATACACACATATATTCAAGTTTCCATAAAAATACAAATACACATATATCTACATTATATACATATATATAAATATAAATTCACTGTTCGCATACAAATACACATATACCTACAATATATACATATATACCTACATTATAGGTTATACACATAATACAGATATATTCAACTTCGCATACAAATACAAATACATAAATACATTTTTTATACACATATACATACATTATATACATAATACACATTTAAATTTTCATACAAATACAAATGCACATATACGTACATTTACTATTTACATACAAATACACATATATACGTATATATACATTCGCTGCTTACATACCTATGACAACCTTCTTGAGATGGTACTCCGGTGGTGGTGTATGGTGGTGAACAGAGGCATGTGGTGGTGGTTGGTGTTGTTGTGGTGGTGATTAAGGGTAGTTGTTGTAAAGTGGAACTCTGATGATGGTGGTGAATGGTGGTGAACGAGGAAGGAGCAGGTGTTGGCTGAAATTGGAGAAATGGTCGGAGGTATCACCGATGGACCGTTCTCTTCATCATCTTGAAATGGAGAAAAGCGGGCAGATTGGGGATCTTAACCGCGAACACTTTTAGTGGCGACACATAGACATTAGAGGTGATACCCGAATTGATTAGGGGGAAAATGTATGCAGCCTTTTTGGGGGTGTTAATGGCGACACCCGCCGCCATTATTGACATTTTACGATTACCAATTGATTTCGATCCATTAAGTCGACGACTTTAATCAACGGTTAGGGTTCGTCTTAAAACACTCACATGGATCATGGTTACTAGAAATTACCGGTGACACTTTTAGCAGTGACGCAAGCAATAGCAACAACAGTAAAAAGTGCCCCCGCTATTGTTTGCGTTGCCGCTAAAGGTGTCGCCAATAATAATTGTATTTGTTATAGTATCTGTCTAAAATAAGTATTAGATCTCTTATTATGACTAAACCTAACACAAGCCGATATGGAATGAAATTGAATCCACGTCCGAATGCCTTCAATATACTTGACATCTACCTTATAAAACTCTTCTATGATTCAAATTCGAAGTAACTCCAGAATGGAGGTAGCATCTTTAACATTCCCTAGCATCACCTTGGTATAATTTTCGACCACTAAGAGCTCCCTAGGGCCAAGAACAATCTTCTTTATATGTTTCATTTTATCTTGCCTGTAAACACCCTTACCCTTTAACGACATTTGCAAAATTCATACAATTCACAGCAGATTAACTATATATGCATACTGTGATTGACTTGTGAAGCTGAATTTACTTCCCCTGATTAGAATTGGTCGATTTGTTATTCCTGGTAAATCCTGCAATTGAGACGAAGAGGTGGTAGTACCCCACCCAGATGGTGACAGTGATCTACCAGTGCTTTGTCGTCTTGCATGCTCAAAAACCGCGCAAAAGCAAATTTCCATCCAAACTTTGATATATAGCTTGCGAGCCACATAAACATCTACAATTCTTGCATACGATTCAAAAAGTTTCCAAAGTCCCTTCTCATATATATCATTGGGGAAGTTTGCGAGATAACAAGAAGCTGACACCTTCTCCCTGCTTCTCTGATTAGGGTTACTCGATTCTCTATTTTTTTTTTTTTTCTGTTCACAAACTTCCACTCGTTATCCTTGTATGTTGTCATCAGAATTCTCCATGATCATGAAGAGAAGTTCGATGTTTTTATGGTTTGCTAATGTTTGGCGGCGTTTTGTCCCACCAGGAACAAGGATTTTCAAGCCACCACCGTTAGGGTTTTTTAGTGACATAAAAATCGGTTAATTTGTGTCATTTTTATCATAATTTAATTAATCAGCAGAGAGCTCAATTACTATAATCGGACTACTTTGTAAAGTACGATACCTTCATAAAAGTAATTTGAAAATACAATATCGTGACCAGAATAATTAAAAATAAAATTCTATTCTACATGAAAAATGAAAAATGAAAAATATACAGCACGAAATACGAATGCATAAAACCCTACACAGTCCCAAACCGAAGCAGCTAAGACGTTGACTATTTATTCAATCATACAAAAAAAAAACCATAAAACATACGCTATACCGACCTTCCCGCGAGCCCTTGACTACGTATGCAAGCATACCACCCTAGAGCCAACTGACTGGGGAAGCTACACTTGAAGTTCCTTCAACCGTCTTTGAAAAGTCAACGCATAAAAACCCTTTGTTCGAAAAAATAACACCAACGAAACAAGAATCCCAAAAACACAACCCCCAGCAAACAAAAAATACGAAATCATAAAGCAATGAATCCCATAACAAGAACCCCCTCCTGCTTCTGCTTCCTTGTCGTAAATGCTACCAATCACTCCCACAGAAAGTATATACGAACCAATAGGATTAGCTACACCAATTGTATTGATAATCGTCCCCATATGCTTCACCCCAAAGATTTCAGAAGTGATTGTAGGCATCAACGACCATAGTGATCCATGGCAAATACTCACGATCACTGAACCAATCAACAAATTCCCACATGAGCCAATGATCAAATGACCTGCTACCATTCCTGCTTGTGTAAGAGAGATAAACAAAGGCCTCCCCAAGCCGTATTTGTGTAAAAACATATCAGACACAAAACCACCACCAAACCTCCCAATAAAGTTCCATATGCTCCACAAAGAAACCATGGCGTTGATCTCAACTGTTGTGTACTTTAAAGACTGGCCTATCTGACTTATGTTGTTGATCGTCGCCAACCCGGACCCAACACCAAACAACATGATAACAAAAAGCAGCCAGAAGTTGATGGTGGAGACGGCTTGTAGTGCATTCATTTCAACAAGTGCAACCTCGTGAGCCTCTGAAGCTACAATCAACGGATCCATAGTGGAGGATGGTGGTGGTTGTTCGTTTCTTTGAGCTGTGAGTGCGATTTTAAGAGGTGAAGACACCAGAATCAGGAGACCAAAGGTTGTTAGGATGTGAGCCCATGATGGGAATGCAAACATGTTTTCAAAGATGATTGCGATCATTAGATATGCAGCAACGGCGAGGGCCACAATCGAGAAGCCATTTAAATGGTTCTTGTCATTGCTCGTGTTCGAGGGGTTTACGTGAACCAAAGACATGAGCAAGAGTGACAGCGACGCTGGAAACACAGCGAGCATCAGCAAGAAGGTGCTTGGGTTGCCATCGAAAAACGTGTGGTAGATTTGAATTAGTATCGCTCCGCTTAGACCAAGAAATCCCTGAGAAATTTGAGCAAATAATTTGTTTTATTAAAATTATCAAGTTTGATTCAAATATCTAGACATTTTTTATTTGTTTCAACAGAATTAGCATAACATATGCAAAAATAACTTCACCCATTACCCTTCTTTGAAATGTAAGATTAAACATCAAAGTCTCCAACTTAGTACCTTCATAATGCCAACGCTGGTTCCGCTGTATCCGGGGAAGTTCTGAACGGCGACGACGATGTTGGCAGTGTCGAAGAAAGTCTGTGCATGTGCCGCCATGAACATGAAGAAACACATGAGCAGAACCGGAGGCTTCTCAAGGATTCCGGTGACTGACAACCACATTAAAAAGTAACCGGCAAAGAACTGAAATGCTCCGGCCAAGTAAACCACCCGCAGACCCAATCCGAAACAAGACGACGACGGACGTGAGCTCCTTTTGTTATCGGCGACGGAGTGGTAGAGAATACCGGCTAAAACTCCAACACTAGTGCCAATGTCTTTGAACACGGAGACGGTATCTAAAGTGGATTGATCGTATCCTTGACTGGATTTTAGGACGGCCGAGTATATTCCGAAGGCATAGGATGGGCCGCAGGTGCACTGAATCCATATGCTCGCCACCGTAGCTATCAACTTGCTGTTTTCCATTATGAATTTTTTTGAAGGGAAATTTAGCTTTTACAAGCCGATCCCCTCAAATACGAGTCTGTGCTGATTATAGTTTGTGCCGGTGTTTACAGTCTCAATGCTGGAGGCCTGGAGGGATTTAAGAACTGGCTGGAGGCGCGTGGCTGGAACGCGCAGCCTTTAAGGGAACTAGGGAAGGGATATTGCGTCCTTATTTATAGTCAAAATGTTCATGGTGGCTAAGAAATAATAAAATGGAGGTGAAAAAGAAATGAAAAAATATTAATTTTTTATTTTGATATTTTCAATACAAAAATGTTTAAATAAATTTAGAAAATCATTATTCTAATAAAACACCAATAATATTCATCAAAAAATTCTTATAAAAATTATTGTTATTCACAAACTTTCAAAAATCAAAATGATATTGTTATAAAAATATTGTTATTCACAAACTTATAAAAGAAATTTAGGTATTGCTAAATTTTGACAGTTATAATTTTGTAAGTTTAAAATTGAGATTCTAAAAACTTATCAAACTTCAAACCTTATATTATAAAATAAACTTTTACTAAAAGATAAATATATGTTCTTTTGCATTCAAAGGTCAAAACTTAATATAAATATTAATTTTAAAATTTGATTGTGTCAATTATATAAAAGGCTAATGTCATAAAAACCCTCAAGTTTTCAGGGTTTTGTCGGTTTTGCCCAAAGTTGAATTTTATGTCCGTTTTTACCCTAACATTTTCCAAAAAATGTTCGGTTTTACCCTTTTACCGGTGATAACAGGTTACCATTATATTAACTTCACAAAAAACCCTTAAGTTACAGTTTTTTTACGTTTTTACCCTTAAGTTTATAATTTTTTAACACTTTTACCCTATGTATTTTTTTTCATATTA